GAACTGCCAAGATTCGAAACTGTAAGATTTGGTAGGAATTCTATTAAATATATGGGACCTCTCATCTGGTCGAAGTTACCAAGACACCTAAGAACGATAGAAACTCTAAATTCGTTCAAGAAGAACATAAGAAAAGTCGACCTTTCAACTCTCGTTGAAATTTAAAACTTAACTAAATAACTTTATAATCTTTTTAATTATCTACTGTAAATAACTATCATCTACATATGTAAATGAATGTGACTTTTAAATTTTTTAGTGTCCTCCATTAGCTTATAGCTAAAAACATAGACACTTAAATAAAGTTTCACATTCATTTATTCATGGGCAATGAATGGGTAAAACAAATCAAAATTTAAGAAGCAAAACGCGTTCCTTCTACTTTTTATTACAAAAGTGAGATATGCTCACATACTTATTACAAAAAATAAGTTTTCTGAAAGGATTTGAAAAGTACAAGGCTGTCATACATTAGTAAGAAAATATGGTTATTTTCGTAATTCATGCATGGTAGTGCAAGTAACACGATTCTGATAAAATAATTTCACGCTTTCTAAGAAAGTTCGAATTCCTTAATCAAGTAATCCTCAGTAATAAAATCTAACGGTCACCAAACTCGTTTTTACGTCTTGACACTACAATAACTTGTTTAAAAAAGTAACCCGAGTTTGACGAAGATTGAATTATTCTTTAACCGGCTGCACTCAAAGATCTGTATGCATATCTTCACAGCGTTCTCTATTCATCTCTAATGACACCAATATGGGGAACTTCTTCAACACAAGCTTCTCTATTTGGTGATAACTTTCCTTATTCTCATGACCTTAATGTTCAATTCAACGATGGTATTGTAAGGAGAAATAAGATGCCAATCACTCGTATTAGGGATTAAAGAGTTAAGAGCAACCCAAACCGAGGATAACTTTATGCAGTAGAAAACTGCCGAATGTGTGACCCTTAGGGATTTGCATTTCCCATAATTTAGATTTATAAAATCACTATTTCTTATTTAGAAATCGTAGGTAATGTACTTTCTTTTAACTGTACTTAGATTGAGCTTAGTAAAATTGTTATTGTACTTTTATATTAATAGGATTGTAATCGCTGTTAGAGTGTCCTTAATTAGCGCCTGTCTTCCACCGGTGCTAAATCCATTAGACACTGAAATAAAGTTATCATCGTTATTAATGTTATCATTATTATTATCATTATGATCGCAGAAGTACTGCTTCAAACGTTTGTGGGTTACCTTAAGTTCTTCATGACAAAAAAAGGTAAATACATCCATTTTCTTTCATGCAATATACAGTAGACACAAATTAAACAGACAACATTAACCTTGATACGAACCTAAAATAGACGCATAGCTTGCTTACCAACACACACTGGCTCACTTTTACTATTTCTGAGAACATCATGTTGCGTAATACACCTTACTTACTCATCCTGAAACAATTATTCACATTACAATCAGTGTGATATCTATAAGATTATCAAAAACTTTAACTTATAACCTCCCTCAAGAAGAAAAAGTAAAAAAATACGTATAGATAAATAAAAAAATAAATAAATAGAATTAAAAGTTTTACATAGAGTAACTGTAGGATGGAAGATTTGTGTTCTTGTAACCTGACATTTATATACATCTACGTCTAGCAAATACTACCTTCGATACTATAATCAATAAAAAAAACTGTCAGCTATTTAGGTCCAATTTCAAAATAGGGTTTCTCACATCTCTTGAAACATGCCTAAGGATTTGCTCACAATAGTTACTTTCTTTATGTGTATCAGTTTTCTTCCAAAGTTACTAGGAAAGCCTTGAAAATTCATTTTGTCTCTGCGCTTAGGCGTGTTGAAAATGGAACATTTTTCGGATAGGTTTAAACCCAGAAATTATATAAGATTTTGCTGTGCCTGTAGTGTATTTTTTTTCCGGCGTTTTTGATGCACGCAATTCTCAAGTTGTCCCAAAAGGAACTTGCTGCCTCAAGAATGCAAAGAAGAGAAGGGAAGAGAATAAAAGGTCGCAGTGCTGATGCAGCAGAAATATATATAACGTACGGATATGCATTAATTTTTAAGCATTACTCAGAAAAATTTCTTGTAATACAAAGCAGAACTTGAGAAATGTTATAATATCTATATATACATGTATGTTTGCATGTATGTAATAACCGCAAAGCACTTGAAAACTAATGAAACCTAATCAGCAACTTCGTCCATTCGACTATAAAACGTTTCGGCTAAATCTTTTCGATTTACACACTCATGACACAAGGCATTGTACATGACCTCAAATGTTGCGGCTGAACCTGTCTTTTGTTTCCAGTGCAGTAACATTTTGTACGCTTTTTCAGTATATTCCTCGTTTTCCTTGTGAAACGCCGTAAGCTTTTCCTCTTTGATGTCAAGACGACGTCCAAGCGGCTTCCAGCCTTGGGCTATCCTTTGTGACAGCCACTCTAGATCTTCATTGCTGGGCACTTGCAGTTCACCTTTGTCTTCAAATACAAGAAAAGTAAAACAGGATAAACAAGTTGATATTAGCAACAACTTTTGTTAAGTTCTTTTTTTTCTGAAACACCGCTCCCCTTAACATTAGAAGTGTAACCATGTAGGTGGGTTCAGAGCCACATAATTTATAAAGCATTACACGGGTAAAAAGTTTTAAAGATGGTTGAAAATCTCAGCGTTTTGGCCACGAACCCTAGCCGTCATCGGGGGAAAGTGATAAACAAAAAATTTCCCAATAGCACGCGTTGTATTAAACGCTTTCTGAAGTCTTGTCCTTAAGCGCTTAACTCAAGATAGTACTGTTTCCATTTGTTTCCCAGTTTTTTTTTAGTTAGTTATTTTTAATTTTTTTCCCATTTTAATTAGGTAACGATGTCTAATGAAAGTAACGCCAGTCTTCCTGCATAGACAAATTTTACTGTCAATAAAGAGTACGCAACAGAAATATGCAAACTTAAAAAATTACAATAAAAAGGGACTCATCCAGGAACCGCGGAGATCATTTTAAAGTGGTAGGGCTAAAACTCTGGCCAATACAAACAATCGCTGAGGAAGTGTTCGTTATTTATCTTGTACAGCTTTAACAAGCCCTTGACATAAGGCAAAGGTGTAAGAGTAGACGTGCTTTATTACTTTCAAGTAATAAAATCCATATTCTGTCCATCTCAACCGGAGCCCTAAAAGATAAATCCCAGCAATATAAGTGGTAGGGCTAGAACCCTACCAGCCCCTCCTCCTCTGCGGTCCCTGTCAACGTAACATTTTCAATCGCGGCACTACCTGCCAATAGGCGGCGCCTCTTCTTAAGAGCCGCAATGGGGCGTCCTGACGATGATTCTACACTTGGACGCTTTCCACTTGAATGTTGCACACTTTGTGCAGAAGTATCTGCACAATAACGAAGATAATGAGATGGATTAGTTGAAAACTACAGTGTGAAATGTACATTTTATGAAGAAAATGGTTTAAAAACGAGGATGTGGTGATCTTGTATTGTAATCGTCCGGGTGAAACCCAGCCCTCACAAGTTACAGAGGAGCAGTAAGTTTTAGCAGTTTCTATTATATTTAACAAAGAACATTGACATATTTGACGAAAGAGGGCTTTTACAAGGAAACATATTAGATCCAAGATTTCATTTGATAAGCAATAGTAGAGAATGGCACTACTTTATGTTTTTTCCTAATCATTTTACACTTAAGTCCTACATGTATTCTACATAAAATTCCTTACAAGGAAGAACGCACCTACCAAGAAGCTGTGTATCGAGTTTACTAATAAGTAACAGAGACAATACGGCATCGTTGTACATGTTGAGGGTGAGGGAAGCAGGCCCCGATTTATTAACGCATAAACTAAGGCAGGCCGTTGTGACTTTGAGCTGAGAACAAGTTGTTTCGTCACCATACGCTACATTTTCAAAAACCAACATAGCCCGGATTTCTGAGTTTGCATATATTAGAACAATAATGACTGATGCGGTAAATTGCATTTTTACGAACAACAGCGAAACCAATAACAAAAATAACAACTAACCATTTCCTTCTTTAAAGTCAAAGGTGGTAGGAGTTGGAACCTAAATAGAGAAATAGAAGGATCCTAGAATGATCGCCTTATTTTCTAAAGCATTTGCTGGATTTTCTTTTCTTATAAAAATAGGTACGGCAAAACGTATCTCAGTCATGTCAAATGTCATATTGGTGTATAGGGAGCGGTAACTTAAAGTAAGAAACAATGTTTATAGGAAGGGTAAAAACAATTATATCTGTGGATCGAGAATTCACTGCTGCCAAGTTAGTATCCCTAGAAAATATATGGGTGCAGCCACACGTTTTTCATTATTCAGTGAAATAAAGGCGATGTCACTAGAAACATTTCGTTTGCTTGAGTCCCGAGTGATTTAGGGGAAAAGTAATGAACTTCCTTTGGGTATGGCGAAGTACAATTTTTACTGCACTTATTTACAAGTTTGTTTTAATGGAAATGCAGACGCATGCATTTGAATAGCAGCATCGTAAATACCTGTACTGGAGATCTTGGAATGATGAGCACTTGACTTATTACTAGGGAATTCTTTTTCTCCTGTCCTCCCATCAATTTTAAGAAGTCGACTTGCAGATTACTCATGTCTTTAATATTAACACGCAGACTCCTTTGAAATTGTTCCTTACCAAGAAACCTTGCATAAAAAACAAATTACGAAAAAATGTTTTGATAAATAACGAACTTTTTTTGGTTTTTGTAAGATTCCTTGTCAGTCGTTTAAAGGATTTAGCAAATCAGGCACAAGTCTACGTCTTTGCCAGAGGCAGAGAGAAATACGATAACACTCGATGGTTATTTGTGTCTTTTTCTTTGTCGAGGGGAAGATGTGTGACACACTAACTAAAATTTCTTTAGACGACGGCAATATGGCATCAACAGGAGCGAAACCCTACACCGTGAGTGCACCAAGCAGCCATTACACGTCATTAGCCCAGAGTGCATTCCGCACCATTCAAGATGGCGGCTGTAGGAAATTCGAAGTGGCTGTAAGATCCTTCTTTGGAAAATGATAAAATAATCGGACCGCATGGTAAGGAAATTTTTTATGCCCGATCTATTGAGCAGTACATTTGTACACTATTTGTCATCAAAAGAGTGGAGGTCTCATTTAATGTTGAGATCGTTTCGCTTCGCCACCTATTTAACGTTACGGTTTTTAAAGATAAATTTCTCGAAGATTTTCAGTTTTTTAAGGCAAGAAGTTAAAATAAAGAATTTGAACCCATTCGTATCAACAAGTTGTAACCTTGTGCTGGGAGTCCAAGGGATAGTGCCATTTTCTAACCCCCTATCTTTTTGTTTAGTCACAGATGAATCTCTACGTTCGAGGCATTTCCGATAGGATCTATAGCACCGAGAGGCAGAGCTAACTTTGTCTTTTCACATTTACAAATGAGTGGATGATGACGATGCAACGATGAAACGTAAC